TTTATTTTTCACTCTGTGTTTCTGTCTCGGAGCCGAACTGTTGGAATCCCTACTTAATGTTTAAAAAAACTGATTTTCTGTATTTTATGATAATTTGAAAAATAATCTTGATGTGAATGGAAGGGGAGAGGGAGAGGGAAAGGGGAGGGTTGCAGGTGGGAGGGAAGTTATGGGGGGGGGAGCCATTGTAATCCATAAGCTGTACTTTGGAAATTTGTATTCATTAAATAAAAGTTAAAAAAAAAAAAAGATCAGTCAGTAGAGGGAGCCCAGAAAGTTGTGTAGAAAATGCACGTGAGAATGAAAGTGTGTGGAGGCTGATTCTCTTCATGGTTCTTTCCTTGTACCAGGTGTCAGTGAAAGCAGATGCTGGCAAGAAACCCGTATTGGAGAAGCAGGACCACAAGGCGTCCCTGGACTCAATGCTTGGGGGCTTGGAGCAGGAGTTGCAGAACCTTGGGATCCCGACAGTGCCCAAGGGCCACTGTGCTTCCTGCCAGAAACCCATTGTTGGGAAGGTGGGAGGGGCCAAGATGTTGGCCCTACAGCCTCTGTGCCTGTTGTTTGTGTCTTCCGCCTTCCCCCAAGATTGCTCTTTCTCCTTATTTCTCTAAGGCATTTTAATGATTGTTAATAGTGACCGCTTACAGTGCTGTGGGCAATGAGCTAAGTGCTTTACATGAGTTCCCTCATTTAATCATCACATTAGCCTAAGAAAATGACTATTTTTGTTTCTTCTATATAAATAAGAAAACTGAGGGACTGGAGATGTTTGCTGACATGTTCAAGGTTTAGGAAGACATGGTGTAAGAGTTGAAACCAGGAGAGACTGAACCCCTGAACCGTTTTTCTGCACTGCCTTTACCGTGTGACCTTTCTCATTGCTTGCTTCCTCTATTCACACATACCCAGTGTAAATTGATAGATGACAAATTCCAGCTGAGTTCAGCCTCAGACTCCCACTCTGCCTCATCCTTTCCATAGCCAAGAGAAAGGGCATTGAGACCTGACCCTAATAGGAGAGTGAGGTGAGGTGTTCGGACAAGGGAATCAAAACTGTCACTTGGACTTTTCCTCATCCTAGGGTCCTTTGTCGCTCCCCGTCTTCGTGGAGGAACGACACAGGACCCTGCGCTGTTCTTTTGTCTGCTCGGCCCTCCCCGGGTTTGCTGCTGGTTCTTCCCGGGTTGGCTACCGTCCCTCCCACCTCCGTGGAAGGGCGGTTCCCCCTGCCACTTTCCCCACTTCCGCGGGGGAGTGGCACACCACCGGCCGGCTCTCTCGGGGGCTGCACAGGTGTTCCTTCAGATAGATGTTCCCAGTGCACGTTGTCTCTCTCCTCCTTTATAGTCCTCTTCCACCAATCCCAACTCAGCTGCCCACACGCGAAGTACGCTGCTCTCCTCCAATCAGGAGCAGGTCCTACAGTTTATTGGTTGAACTGGAGGCAGCTGTGTAGAAGCTGTTTCTCCCTTCTCAGCGCCATATTGTGGGAGAGCAGATGCATAGAATAAGTCTTAATTCGAGTAACTTAGTCTAGTCCGAGTTGCTCCCAGTTGCTCCCCACATCCTTTCCATTCTCTTTAGCCTGTCATCACTGTGTCTTGTATTTCTATCACCCTCTGGGGCAGTAAAGTGGTATGGGACATTTCCAAGTTTCCATCAGAGTTATCATTAGGAAAATAGCTAGTCTTACTATCCACAGAGCTCAGACAGTGGACCACAGTGGGGTTTACATGGAACACAATGCCCTCTATAGTCTTGTGGCCTGTAAACCTAGAGCACTCAGCTGCGCTCCCACGTCAGGCTGTTTGCCATCCCCCAGGTGATCCATGCTCTGGGGCAGTCCTGGCATCCGGAGCACTTCATCTGCACTCACTGCAAGGAAGAGATTGGCTCCAGTCCCTTCTTCGAGCGGAGCGGCTTGGCCTACTGCCCCAAGGACTACCACCACCTTTTCTCACCACGCTGTGCCTACTGTGCAGCTCCCATCCTGGATGTAAGTATAAATTTCCCCCCACCTACATCTCAAGCCTTCCTGTAGCTTTTCACCACTCATTTATAGCCAGGGTCATGTTTTACAACTCTGCAGCACTCTCATATCTCCCTCCGTGTTCCTTTTCCAGAAAGTGCTGACAGCAATGAACCAGACCTGGCACCCGGAGCACTTCTTCTGCTCTCACTGTGGAGAGGTGTTTGGTACAGAAGGTATGGCCCCAGGCTTCATCCCAAACCCCACGGGGTAATGATGTGCTCCGCAGTGCTTTTCTTTGTGGCCTGCTGCCTGTCTGATGTGAGAGTCCTGCTTCCTGCCTTCTAAGTGTTCTCTTCAGTCCTGGATAGCACCCCTCCCTACCTTTCTCCAACTTTTATAATTTGTGTTTAAATTGATACTGTAATCAAAGAAATACAGAGTTTAAAGCTCAAGTATTACTTCAAGGTCAATATTTAAAAAGAATAGTACGCTGCTTTTCCCTTCCTTATCCCCAAATCCAGTTTTCCTCTCCAAGTTCTTTTAGTAGTATTTTTTTGTTATTTGCTTGTATGTTTTAAATAACAACTTATAATACTATATACTAATATTTTCTCCCATTTTAACCACTATATATTCATTTTCTTCCAGGAAAATTGAGATCAAGAAATGTTATTGCTGCTCCACTCATACCAGACTTATTCTTGGGGAATTTTTTTTTAAAGATTTATTTATTTGCTTAAAAGTCAGAGTTATAGAGGGATGGGGGAGAGAGAGAGAGAGAAAGAGAGAGAGAGAGAGATTCCATCTATCTGTTTCATTCCCCAGATGCCTACAACAGCTGGGCTGGACCAGGCCTAAGCCAGGAGTTTCTTCTAGGTCTCTCGTGTGGGTAGCTGGGGCCTACTTGGATCATTTTTTGCTATTTTTCTCAGGCCATTAGCAGGAAGCTGGATTGGAAGTGGGCAGCCAGACACAAACTAGTGCCTATATGGGATGCTAGTGTTGCAGGAGGTGGCTTTACATGCTATGTCACAACGCTGTCTCCAGGAACCCAATTTCTTGTGCTGTCTCTGTTGCCTCCTAGGATCTTCGTTAGCAGGGAACTGAAGATCAGAGTTAGAGACAGGAATTAAACCCAAGCTCTCCAACTATGGGGTGCAAGTGTCTTAAGTGCTAGACTGAATGCCTGCTCCTGGAGTGACTAAGTCTTATTCCATAATTATAAAACAGTGTTCAGTGTGTATATGCTGACAGTCACACAAATGTTGTTAAGCCATGTAGCAAACTGATTACAGTGGAGCATGGATTTTGGAGTCAGACTTCTTGGTTCAAATCTGGGCTATGTTATTTATGATGTATATGATCTTGGTCAAGGCATTCAGCTTCTCTATATCTCACTTTTCTCATCAGTAACAATAAAAGTCTAATAAAAGTGCCTATCTTACATGGTTATTATGAGATAACATCAGTATTATATTTAGCCTAGTGACTGACATGGAAGCATACTTATGATTAATGTTATTATCATGGTGTCTTTTTTTTGTATAACTCTTTTTTTTTCTAGAGTTAACATTTGAATCTCTTTCTCATTAGGTTAGTTTTTCTTCTACTTATCACTAATTTATCTGATAGAAATTTGAAATCCTTCTCACAATTTTCAACCACCTCTGGAAGTCAGTTCCATTTTTTTCCACTGTAGTACCTACCTCTAGGAGATTTCTAGCCTCTTGTTCCAACCTAAAATGGTTTCTTTCTGCTAAGTATCAGTCATTCTACCCTGGTATCCCTGAGAATTCATTTTACTACTTTCCTCTTTGGATCTTCTGTTTCCTGGATAACATGTGGTTTCCACATGTTTCCACCTTATTTTTGTGTATCATGTCCTCTAGCAGCTTTATAAGAAACAATGAATAGTAGGTAATGTTTTTGAAAACAATGAATATCTAAAATTCCTTTTCATCTGTTTTTGCCCCTAAGTTGCCTAGCTGTAGAATTCTGGATGTAAACTATTTTTTGCTCATAATTCTGAAGACATTGCTTCACTCTCTTCCAGATTCCATGGTTGAGAATATTTATTAACATTTTATTCTTTTCCTTGATCTTTTCTATGTGACCTGTTTTTCCCCTTTTATAAGCTTTTTTCCTTTTATTTTCTGAATTGTCTTAATTTTCCCCCTGATTTCATGTTTCTTTTGAACAAATATGACTCATGCATGGGATTAGAAAACTTCCTTATATTGCTTTTTCCTGTTATTTTATATGTTTTAAATCATTTTATTATTTAAAATTTTGATTAATTTGTGTACTACTTACATATTTTATGGGGTAAAATATGCATGGCATAAACCAACCACTCAGTCCAGTAAGGAAAGTTTTCTCCTTTTTCCTAGATAAAAACTTCAACAATCTCAGGTATTTTCTGATTACTCTTAATAAATACTTCTAAACATAAAATTTAAGACACAAAATGCAAAAACTTAGTTCTTGGGTGATTCAATCTATTAATAGATAAAACTTTCAACTGTTTAAAAGTGACAGCAACTGCCTCTCCCTGGTGGGGCCTTCAAGTTGCAGGAGACCAGCAAAGGCGTATGACCTTTCACCTCTCTTAACCTGCCTTTGGCATTTTACCATCCTCAGTCCTGTTGCTTATCTTGACGTGAATTCCTTCAGGGCTGAAGTGTCCTGTCAGGGTAGAAGGAGAAGAGAATGGAGGGCAGGGAAGTTCTAATGTGTGTAGTACTTCTGTTAAATTGGTTTTGTAACCTCTAGGCCTGACTGTTGTTAAACAGTCTTGGATGCTTTTGTGGATTATGTATAAATCCAGTAGCAAACTCTTGATTTCTCTTTGTGTCCTGGCTGGCTTTCTTTCCTCATCCTGTTATTCCTTTGAGGATATGTTCTTCAGATAAGCTTGTCTTCATGGGATTTTCCTCAGCCCCTTCTGGTGATCACTTAGAAATGATTGAAATGTTCCAGATCATCTTTTTCACTTGAATTTTTAGTTAAGGATCATAGGAAATGTGTGTACTCTTCCCTCACAGTCAATGGGATCGCAGTTAATTTTCAGCTGTATCTCGTGTTCTCTCTGCCAACATTCAGAGTTGAAAAAAAAAAAAAAAGGATCAGGGTAGGGGTGGGGGAAGGATTGAGGAATGAGATTTTCATTGTTCAGCATTTCAGTTTTTACTTAATTCCCACTTTTCAACAGAGAACTTGACTTCATTCTTCATGATCCCCACAAGTGCTGATCCCTGAGATTCTCTGGCTCGATATTTTCAGAAATAATCACTACATCTATGGTTTAGTGGGACATCTGATTTCTAATGGTGTTTCAGACTTTGAACCAATCCCACTTCTAGTCCTGAGGAGTATCTTCCATGTTCAGTCTCTAAGCCCCTCTGATGTTAGAGAGCTCAGGGTGGCTTGATGTTTGTTGGTATCTTCCACCTGTAGAGATATGGGTTTCAATTTTCTTACTTATGTCGACCTAGTTGCCACCTTTAAAGTTTTGAAAAACTTGTTGTTGCTTCATCTGGTTACATCTCTTTTCCATTTTGCTTTTTCTTTTTCTCTTTTTTTTTTTAAATTTTTTTGGTTAGTGATTTATTTATTTGTTTGAAAGGCAGAACTAGAGAGAGGCAGAGCCAGAGAGAGAGGTCTTCCATCCACTGGTTCACTTTCCAAATGGCCACAATGGCCAGAGTTGAGCTGATCCAAAGCCAGGAGCTTCCTCTAGGTCTCCCATGCAGGTGTAGGGGCCCAAGGGCTTGGGCCATCTTCTATTGCTTTCCTAGACCATAGCAGAGAGCTGGGTTGGAAGTAGAGTAGCTAGGAGTCGAACAGGTGCCCATATGGGATGCCAGTGCTGCAGGCAGCGGCTTTACCTGCTACGCCACAGTGCCTGCCCCTTCCTTTTCTCTATTTCCTTATGAATCTTTATAATTTTCTTTCTTAACTGTTGTCTTAGTGTTGTCACAGGCGGGGAGTGTGGGATAATTCTATGTGTTCAGGCCTTTGTAGAGAGATTCTCCTAAGTATTACGTATGGTATTATGTACATTGATAGCTATTATTCATTTGATCCCCACTACAACCTATGAGAGCAATTTTATTGATTTTTTAAAGATTTATTTATTTATTTGAAAGAGTTACAGAGAGGCAAAGGCAGAGAGAGAGAGGCTTTCTATCCGCTGGTTCACTCCCCAGATGGTTGCAACCACTAGAGCTACGCTGATCCAAAGCCAGGAGCCAGGAGCTTCTTCTGGGTCTCCCATGTGGTTCCAGGGGCCCAAGGACTTGGGCCATCTTCTACTGCTTTCCCAGGCCATCGCAGAGAGATGGATTGGAAGAGGAACAGCTGGAACGCAAACCAGCCCCCATATGGGATGCTGGTGCTGCAGGCAGAGGCTTAGCCCACTACACCACAGCACCGGCCCCAGCAACTTTATTCTATATTTTACCGGTTATAGACGAAAACAGTGAACTTCTAGGAGATAAAATAGTTTTCTTAAAGTTGTACAACTATAACGTCAAAGAGCAGGGATTTATACTCAGGTCTCATGTCTGCAGAGTCTCTGTTTTCTCTACAACATCACAACTGTCCTTTGATCAAGACTCCACTTGTCTTCTGCTGCTGTATTTCTTTACTTGATGCCAACATGCTACACTTTATTTCACAGTAGACCCAATACAGAAGCACTGACATGGTCATTGGCAAAGTACTTTGCAGTAATTTGCTTGTTCACTGGAGCTTGTTCAACGCTTTCCACAAGTTGTTTGTTATTTTACTTCGAGATTGAACTTTAGTTAAACAGCATTTTTCATTGAGACTTAATTTAAATCATATTAAAATATGTCACAGTAAATTTATATTGTACTGGTAGCCATAGAAGGCTGAGAGTGAATTCAGTAGAACAATCAGCAAGGGATGGGCGCTGTGGCACAGTAGGTTAATCCTCCGCTTGTGGTGTCAGCATCCCATATGGGCGCTGGTTCTAGTCCCAGCTGCTCCTCTTCCCATCCAGCTCTCTGCTGTGGCCTGGGAAAAGAGTAGAGGATGGCCCAAGTCCTTGGGCCCCTGCACTCATGTAGGAGACCTGGAAGAAGCTCCTGGCTCCTGGATTCAGATCAGTGCAGCTCTGATCGCTGTGGCCATTTGGGGAGTGAACCAGCAGATGGAAGACCTTTCTCTCTGTCTCTCCCTCTCATTGTCTGTAACTCTACCTCTCAAA